TGTGTGTGTGTGTGTGTGTGTGTGTGTGTGTGTGTGTGTGTGTGTGTCTTGCATGGGTAATAGCTGCAGCAGTCATTTTACAGTTTCTCAATGTGGGAACCATATTTTGAAGGTGTTATTAACAAATTGGATCTTGTCCAAGAAGCATTTGGAAGAAGGGAGAGGGCACATAAAACCACATTGGCCTGGGAAGGAGACCCAAAAGAATCCTGGCTTGGGGAAAAGGGATTGGGCTCAGAATGTAGTGTTCAGAGAGTAAAACCAGGACATGCAGATCCTAGGTTTAAGCTCTTGTGTTAAAAAGAACCTCTCTAGCCTCTAGCGGTGAGTGGAAACAGCAGTGGGAGGTGTTCAAAATAAACCAGGTGTGTGGTGAGTTTCCTGTAAGGAGAGGCATTCAAGAGAAAAGGTGGCTCCATGGCAAGAACACTGAAGCGAAGAGTCCCATCAGAGAGTGGTTGGTTGAGACATCTGGGGTCTAACCCTGCGATACAGCTGTTCTGTTAGAGAGTTGCTTCTCAGGCCCCTGAGGGTTGGAAACAGGGTACAAAAAATATGCTGACATCTCAGCTTCTGAGTGTCATCGAGGCTGTGGGGACTGATATTCCCTCCCTGTTCTGCTCGCCTTTCAGAAATCCTATATACACCCAAGCACTCGTCCATGCAGTTGACTTCACCCCCGATGGCCCTTGAAGCGAGGTGGCTGACAGCTGCTCTCCTCTGTGCCCACTGCTAATGGACTGTCAGCCTCTGTCATTACTGGCTGCAGACCACGCAGGCTGGTATAAAAGGAGCGCCTCTGGCAAGGACCTGCACTCCTGGTGCAGCCAGCTGACATTTGTCATGTGCTCTTTTTCAAACTGGGACAGCCCTTTGTTGGTGAATGACCAAGCCAGGACAGCAGAGGATGGCGAAGCCTGGTGAGGCCCTGCCTGAGGCCCTGATGACTGAGCCTGGGCCCAGGAGCTCACTAGCAGAGGTAGGCAGGTATAACTGAGACACTCTCCTACCTCCCAAGATATGGAAGCGCGAGAAGAGCCAGTGAATATCTTGGTCACATGCTCCCAACCAAGGTGTTGGGAGGGAAACAGGAAGTTGGTCTGGGCTCTGTGGTGTGATTAAAGGCATGCCCCAAAGTCCATATTCCACGCTCCAGCCATACCCTTGGCTTCTATATTTCCCAGCACAGCTTAGAATCACCGCCACAGCTAGAGCTAGAGCCAGGTTTAACAAGACAGACAACTCCAGTGTGTGTTGTGTCTGTCTGTTACTGTGTTTCTTGTCAGGGTCCCCCAGCAGGTGGCTGGTGGACAGGCGAGTAAGACTATTTCAGCACCTGCACAGTGCTGGCACAACTGGCCGAGGTAGGTTTCAACTAGTTGTGGAAAGATAGGGGTGTGGGAGTGGCTAGACCCTGTGGGACAGGCCTGAAGACCATGCTGACCTATATCACATGGCTGGCTGACCCAGAGCAGTAAGGACAGGTGAATTCTGCCCAGGACTGGAAGTGGAAGGGAAAAAATGACAGTAGCTCTAAAGAGCTCTTAAGGTCTAGCTCATGTTTCTGGAAACCTGTAAATAATTAAGGTGTTGGATAAATGACGGAGAGAATGACGGTGACAAAGTCGCCGTTTATTACAAGCTCACTGTGTGCCAGACTTTGTTTTACGGCTTATATACATTGTTTTAATGTTCCTAACAGCTCCATGAATAGGATATTGAGGTCTTTTTTCATAAGACAGAAAGCTGAGAAAAGGGAGATAATTAAGCTTGCCCAAGTCACCCATCCTTCAAACTTTAGTCTGTGCCCATGTGAATTCTCTCCCATGGCCTCTTGGACCCCATCCACTGGTCAGTCCTTGGGAGCGGGAGGTGTGAGGAAGGTAAAATAGGCCTGATGATGTTGGAGGCATCAGAGGACTAGAGAGTCCGACATGGCCTTCCCATGGCCGAAGTGGTCAGCTAAGGCTCCCAGATGTGGGAGTGATGGCCAGCAGCCACAGGCCAGGAAGACAGTTCCCCTCAGAGTGAGCCAGCTGCCTTCCACTTGACGTCCTAAGATGGGCAAGAGACAGCCTGAGACCAGGTGGAAGAGATGAATGGGGGGGTACACCATGGCCCCTTAAGAGCTGCCTCCTGTCTTGACACTGGCCTGCAGTGTTCCCGTCTTCAGAGTGAGGCCTCTTGGGCTCGCTGCCCTGGGCCACTATGCATCATCATCTAGGAAGCCGGCTCAGTGGCAAAAAGAGGTAAGTCTACATTACTCTGGGTGATGGAGTCAAAGTTTCACTTCAGACCCTGTCCATCTTTGATGACTGCTCACCTCAGCTGGAGAGGAAGGTCCATTCTCCAGTTAAATTTGGGCTTCCTCCCCTCCATCTGTTTTCAGTTTTCTCCTCAGTACTCAACCTGGCCACTGAAACAGAAAGCCCATAGAAACAGTTGCTTTGCCTGTGAGAATGCAGCCAGCCACCAGGGGGCCTTGGAAAGAACTCTGGCTCACTTTTAGCATGGGGCTGGGAGTCGGGTGGGGAGGCAGGGGGGCGGGGGTGGGATGGGGAGACAGGGGGGTGGGCGTGGGGTCAGGATCTGTTACCTGGGTGTAGGCCTGTAGAGACAGCCCCTCTGGGTGAGTGTGCTTACTTTAGGGAAAGGCAATTGACATAATCAGCTATAAAACAGAGAGGGGAAACTGCAGCGCCCTGAGGGCAGAGGGGCAGAGACCATCTGCTGATTGGAGTTGTTTGGGATAATAATGGGCAGAGCTCAGGGTTCCTGGAAAAGTTAGCCAGGAGAGATGCTGGTGGACTGGCGTACC